TTGGTCCCTTAACAAGTGGGAGGCACATATGCAAACTGTTGTAATTCCTACACCGTTCACCTGATTTGGATGTAAATACCCTCAAATTAAAGCTGACAGTCTGCAGTTAAAGCACATCTTGTTCGTTTCATTTCAAATCCATTGTGTTGGTGTAGAGAGCCAAAAATGTTAGAATTGTGTCGATGTCCCAATATTTATGGACCTGACTGTATGTTCCCCTCAGGTTTCATCTACCATCCTCACTGCACCAGTATGAATCTGTTGATGACCTTACAGTTATCGCAGCTCTTCACTTACAAGTAAAAAGCAAGAGTCTACAGCTACACTAGCAGCTTTGGGAGGCAGTGCTTTGAACTAAGTGCTAATGTCAGCATAGTAACATATTATCAATGTTAAGATACTGATGTTAAAACTGAAAACTGAAAATCTGATCTGATGATTGTGCAGTATCACAACCTCATGGGTGTACTAAACACTGGCACTGCCATGCATAAAGCTGTGTCGCTACTGTGACTAAAAAACTAAATATGATGAACAAACAGGACAGGAAAATCCCGAAATGGTTTTCTGGGGTGTTTAATTATTATTTCATTCTACCCTCATGTTCTGATTCTCAGGGTTCCATAAATACAACATGTGCCTTTAAATGTTTTCTGTAAGACTCATAAAATGGCAGCAGAACAAACTGTTCCTGCAACCCACTGATGTACTGCCAAACAACAGACATAAGCTTAAGTTGACATGAATAGCTCGTCTTTAGCAGGGCAAATGAGTTTCACTGGATTTCTCAAACTATTATCAGTATAATTTAGAGCCAAATCTAATAAATGTGGTTAGAGCACTCAAATGCACAAATAAAAAAAGATTTTGAATCACAAAGATCAACAAGCGAGTGATTCAATTTGTCTATAGCCTTGAACAAAGAACTTTTTCAATAAGACGTCCTTTGAGGGCGTGCACGTCCACACTCGCCTGCACCTGACTGAGACATGGGAGGTTCATAGGGCCTCACATAAAACCCACAGAGGCATGTGGTTAATTGCTTCTCCTACACACATAACCAAAAAAGCACCACGAAAAGAGTCTAACCCAAAAGGTCTGCTTAAAACATTTGTCTGGATCACCCCTTTGTGCTTGACCAGGGGGAAGAGCACATTTCTGTCTTCAAAATGAGTTATAAAATGCTATTCTCACTGTTAAACAGTGGTTAGGTTTTACAAGGCGAGTGCACATATTTGGACAGCACACTGCTGAAGTCAGAGTCTGAATATAACTACAGCTGCTACAGTGTGGGAGTTGAGCACGTCTGCAGTTGGTGTAGTTATCGAGCATAGAGCTGGGAAAAATTTCCATCTGATTTCCTGCGAGCGGATGACACCGAAGTTTAAAATGGAGTGCATCTTCTTCTCTTTTTGCAGATGGAAACAAGCAAGCACACGTGTGGTGCTAATAACAACTCTTTGGCACCATGTTGTCGTTTAGCTCAGTCATTCCAAGAAACGAGATATCTCTGCATGAAATTAATTTCCATGTTAGCAGCTGCAAATGTGCCACCACCACCACCACCACATTTACATGAAACTAAGCTAACACCAGCTGCTGAATGTAGCCTCATGAAGGCAATCTGAATCCCTCCCAGGAACAATGACAACTACTATATAGAGGGGTAATCTAATTACAGAATGTAAATACATTGAATGGAGGTTAAATGGAGATTAAATGAACATAAATAGTATTAAAAAAAAACTGTTGATTTCATGAAAATCTGCAACAACTGACCACTTGGGGGCAGTGATAACCAGTTGTGATTACATTACATCTCAACTTTTAAGCTGACATGGTGAACTTACTTATGATTTTTCTGTCCACCTGGTGGATGTAAATCTAATATTTACTCTCCTTTTAGTTGTTTTTCGCCTCTACCAACTCATGAGCAAAATATCTGGCTCCTTAGCTGCAAAATGCTCCCCTATGTTCACCAGCCAGTCTCTAAGTTTGTCTGCTGTTTGGTGCTGAGCAGGTGGTGTAGTGTGCTTTAGAGCTGTCTTTCTGTGAACAGCTGCCTGCTGTGATCCAAAACATTGCTATGAGAGTAATGAGTGAACACAAACAGTAAATCTGCAGGCCAGACAACTACACAATGTCCTGAAATGGACTATAACACTCTGCAAAGCTGATGGGAGCTGCAGAATCAGGTACGAATTCTCATTGCTACAAGAGATCCCTTTTACATTGTCACATTGTTTTTACATTGTCATTTGATAAATTGTTACTATAAAAATATTGATTACAAATCAATTGATAAATCAATCTATATTCTCATATAAATGATAAAAAGTAAACGTACATGTCAAAAAATGAACTACTGCTTCATAACAATCAAAGGTGTGTGTTACAGCTATATACCATCTGATGAAGGGAGTGACTCATGCATCCATTTGTCTTTTGGCTTAAACACCATCCCCGCCTCGTGCCCAGCCAGTTACATTGCTCACATACAAAGGCACGCTCCACCCTTCTGTCTGCCCTCTAGCAGCTGGCACAGAGGTGTCATCTCAAGCTCTCAGCTGCTACTGTGGTGTACCAGTAGCTGCACCAGCAGCTGTCGGTAACTGCTATATCATCTCCAGATTGCATGATCAGGTAAGTTTGGGGAGGAAAAAACTTTTGTGTTTTAAAGTTTTCTGGCATTCCCTTTCATTGCCATTATGGATAAATACTGAATATGATTTGTCTTATCTCAACAGTGTTATATCTTATTGGTCTACTTATATGTAGAAATAGAGTAAATAGTGGCAAATATTTCATTTTCCTCCTTCTTTCTCAATAAATACTCATCTAAAAAAGGCATGTACATGCACATTTAATCACAAAGAGACAGGGCCTTGCATAGGAACACTTTGGTACAGATAATCACATTTTACATGTGTGACAGTTTTATATATCTGCAGTGCAGGTTTCCTTAAGGGCTTCACACAGGAATCCAGACTTTGGAATCACTGTAGAAGAAGGACTGCTTTGATAAAATCTGTGGATCATAGAAACCTGGAAAGAAGGAGAGAAAGTTTAACTTAATGCTTTCACTTGCAATCATATGAGTAACTGAAATGCTCCACTCAAATTAAAACTTATGTGACTACAATGAGTAAACTAATGAGCTAAAGCAAAGTGAGTGCCTCTGCTTCTATTTCAACTGTGTTCAAAATTATAAAATGATGAGCGTATATATTTTAAATCGAAACCACAACCTGGTGTTTTTTTCCCTCACTGTGTATTAGGGAGCAGAAGTATGTTCTGTAATGGCAGTGGAAATATCCCAACATCAATTTGGCAAATAATAATCACAAAAATAAGAAAAATACCAACTAATAACCGAGTCTTTGTTGCTGTTTTTTAGGCATTACCTGGACCTGGATTAGTATCGGTCCGTGGGTTTAGTGGTATCCGTTCAGTTCTGGATGCAAATGCAGCAGTGGGCATGGGATGCTTTGACGGGCTGTTGTAATTGACAACGTCATACTGCCCAGGGCCTGGCAAGGGTGGGTCCTTAGGCACAATCAGAGGAGGCGCTGATATTGCCAAATAATAACCCCTCCTTAAAACACAATTCATGGAAATTCCATTTTAGACTATCACAAAGAATTAACTAGGTAATGCATAGACAAACCTGCAAGGATTATGTGTACTCACGGGAGGATGGTCCTCTTCACTGGTGTGGGGGTCCGATGGGGAGTGTAGGCTCCTGGGCCGGGCACATGGTTGTTCATTGGAACAGGGATTCTCTGAGTTTTTGATTTGAAGGGTGACGAGACTGACTTGGAGCCGTGCTGGATAAAGCAGTCATTTACCTCATAGTAGCCTGTAAGAAAATTATTATGTGAGAATAAACATAGTAAGAACAAAAATAAAAAGGGACTAGGAAAAAAACTATAAAATGAGACTATGCATGACTAGAAACAGTGGTAATTACATGGTGATGGCACATTTTTGTTTGGGTAAAATGAGTCCCGTCCAGTTTTTGAGAGAAAAGCTGATGTACCAGCCACTGCAGAAAGTCTCTCTCTGTTACCGCAACTGATCTGCACAGGAAGAAGAACAAGCAGCTACACATTATCTAGAGGATGCCCATTCTCAAAAGTTGTCTCTAAAGCTACTTTCATAATTCACATACGTACATCATACTGATTTGGTGCTGGAGTAGTATTTTTCGGACCATTGTGCTGCACAGCCACAGGCAACCTGAACACCCTCGAAACTCCAACGTTGAAGTCATACCTGTCAATAAAGGAACTCTGTATGCTGTATGCATTGGGTCCTGGGATGCCTCTCTGTGGGTAACTGTAACCCCTGGCAGCCTATTAGAGAATATGATATGACAAAGCAATTTTAATACTGATGCTGGTGTATTCACAATCAGCAAAATCTAATCTCAGCATCAGGGTGATTAAAGTCATATTCTCTCTGTACTGTATACTCTATTTTGTGCCTGGGTGGTGAGTTTGAGGTAATTAGACTCAGTATAGCCACAATCCTGGCTACAGCCCTGCTAAGTATGAAATCCATGAAACTGCTCCATATACTTTTTGACCTTGGATGGAACAAAGCCTGTAGTGCCTTTCTTTGAGAAGGATGGACTTTTGACTTCAGCACTGGAAATACAGCCATAGCTGCCTGGTCCTGGATTTTCATTCTGAAACAAATATTTGTATAGATTGTCATGCTTCTGTTTAGCTTTTTAATTATTTATTCATAGTTAAGAGGAGTTCAATTCCCTACCAGACAGACGTATGAGGGAAATCGTTTAGTCTGAGATGAAAACCCCTTCTTCTCCTCATTTTTTATCATCACTGTTTCATAGTTTGTTGGTATGGAGGATGAGACTGTGTATGCTGGAATCTTATCTGCAATAAAATCAAAATAACCATTATGTCACATTATACAGTGGCAAAAGTAAGCCCTTTACTGTATGATTTTCTGCATTGATTTGTGGTAAAATGTGATGTCACAAGTACAGACAAACAAAATTAGCTTAATAAGACACAAAATATTTTCTGCAAGCTTTTTATTGAACAAACATTCAAGAGTTTTTTTTTAAATTATAAATTAAAGTAGCTCTGGCCAACACTTTCATTCTTATTCACTGACTGAACTCCCTGTTTGATAGGTCCTGGCTCCAGTTAGCTTTAGTTGATGTCAAGAGGATATGAGGTTAGGAATTCACATACTTTTTTCAACCTACACTGTGAATGCTTGAATAATATATTCAGTATTGTCAATTTATTGATTTGTATGTTAGCCTACTAGTTCATTCATTCATTCAAACTTTATTCTGGACACTAAGAGAAAAATGGTCCAAATTAAAGACAAATATATACATATTCAAATAGAAGCACTACAATAAAATACCAGGAAAAAGACTCACTATTATAACTTAGCTAGACGAAGATCTGACAATATTTTAAGACAACACTATAGTTTAATGAGGTTTACTTACACTAATTTTCCTTATCTTAGCTAAAACCAAATTAAGTTGAATTTAGACTCACTTTTATTTCTTCGGTACATGTTTCCCATTGTTCATTTAGATGAAAGGTAGAAAGTTACCGCTGCAGTTAGTAAATCTTAAGCCATTAAAAACCTCTCGGGTGTTGTAGCAGTCCCATGGCGTCCTAGTGTTGCTATGTCAACGTAAACACAAATGACCACTTGTTGCCAGGTTGGAGTGTTTTCCGCTTACGGAGGACGTTTAAGGCCATGGTTAAGTTAGGATTCTTCAAAGTTCTTAGCCCCGGATTGCAGAAATTTATGTCATTAATTTAGTAGTAATTCAGTCAAAATATATTTTCTAAACATAGACATACATAATAGACATTTGGTACAGTCAATGTTATTTTCTGATATAATTGTGTCAGATTTCGATTGCAAAAAATGCCCAGATTATTGACAAACACTCCTGCAAAACTTGCATCAGAATAATCAGATGTTTTCTTCTGTATCAAAATAATCGACTGATAGTCAGTAAACCAAACGTACACCGCAAATAGGTTACTTTTCTTAGTCAAATACAGCCTGTGTCCAAATTTAGCCATATATGAATCTGGCAACAACGATTCAAGCTGACGAGATCTTACGACCTAATACCGCCACCTCTCGGTAAAGTGGGAGTTCATCGGGCGTTTTATACAAACCAAATCGCCCGTTTTATTTCTAGATAGCTCTATCCATCATGGCGATGCACGCGAAAGCGACTCCACCACAGATCCCGGACACCCGCCGGGAGCTCGCTGAACTGGTGAAGAGGAAACAAGAGCTTGCGGTAAGTTCATGTTACCATGATTTTGTCCAAAATGAAAGCGGCAATATGTATTTTACCATGTAGAAATGCAGCTGGCTAAATCCTAATTGTAACGTCAGCTAACATTTGCCTCAGAATGAGTATATTAGCCGAGGCCTAAGTGCTAAGCTAATGATAGCAACTGCTAACTTTGGCTCTCAGTAGCGCCAGTAACTCTGCTAACTTGGCAATACTGTAGAGCGCGTAACTCAGTGCCTACTATTGTCTTAATATATCTGACGTTGATTCTGTCCGCACCGTTAAAATACAACACTGGTGTTAGGCTGCCTAATACATTTTAATTTGAAACCATTAGCATTTTACAAAGTAGTTGCTGTTGCGTTATTGACCGAGTATGCTATGCTAGCATAGCTTCACCACCGCGGAGTTTGGCGAAGTTCTCGCGATATATTGCATTACACATAGTCCAGAAGGCATTACAAGGAAAATGTTTGGTGTCTAACCCCGGTCACTTAAAGACAATTAACCGTTTTTTTTAAATAAAATTATTAACTTATACTTCTTAGTCTTTTTTCTCACCCAGCTTCTCGCCATTAAACTTGTAGTTAAGATATGTTAGGTTGTCTGACTTGAAAATCTTGCCTCTTGAAAAGAAGTTCAAGTAACTCAGATGCTTTTTGAAGTATGACAGTTATTGAACAATAACCTACATCAAGTGATGTCCTGTGTTATAAAGATTAAATGTGTATTAACACAATTCTGCAACACATTAAACCAAGTTTGTTTTGGTTCCTATCCTAGGAGACGCTGGTGAATTTGGAAAGACAAATATATGCATTTGAAGGCAGCTACCTAGAAGATACCCAGATGTATGGCAACATCATCAGAGGATGGGACCGATACCTCACCAACCAAAAGTACGCATCAGATGTGAAACTCCCAGGCTCTCTGCATGCTTGTTGGAAGTGTGCCAAAAAGTGCTCCTAAATAGTCAGAATCGTGGAATATCAAAATAGTTTTTAAATTTTGTTTTGATTTTCTAACAGGAACTCCAATAGTAAGACCGACAGAAGGAATAGGAAGTTCAAGGAAGCAGAGCGTTTATTCAGCAAGTCATCTGTGACATCAGTTGCAGTAAGTCTCTCTCTTACTGGACTTTTTCACACCATGCATGAGTTTCTTATTTGCAAATAAAATACAACACAGTCTAATAATTGCAGTCTTTTTGACTTGCAGGCAGTATGTGCACTCGGTGGGATTCCAGATCACATGAATGAAAAACGTGAGTTGCCAAGCAGCACTGAAAGTTTCTTTCCTCACTAGTCTTTGGTGATTTGGTACAGAGTCTTAATTGTTGCTTGGGTCCCAACAGGTGAAGCAGGCAGTGGCACAGAAAGTGACACTTCTCCAGATCTCCAGAACCAAGAGAACGAGCCCAGCCAGGAGGACACAGAGGATGTGGACTCGTCGCTGCAGGACCTAAAGCCTCAGAAGGCCACCTCGTCTTCCTCCACAGGCAGCCATCATGGAAGCCACAAGAAGAGGAAGAACAAAAACAGGCACAGGTACAAAATCATGCTCTGCACTAAAACAACATTACTGTAAAACCTGTATACATGCAGCAGATTAGGCCAGATTTCCCCCTGACCTTAAATTGGTACCATGGCTAATCCATTAAGCACTTTAGACACTGCTTTCTGATTCAAATTCAGACACATCCTCACAGACTGACTTTGAATTATGATAAATTAATTGACTTTTGAATACAAAACTGCACAACTACATGTAATAATCAGTAGGTGAGCCCATGGTTTGATCCTAGGCAACTCCTGCCTTCATGTCAGTGTCTTGGAGTGAGACCCTGACTCCTACTACTAGTTCCTGATGGTTAGACTGGTAGCTCACTGCCATCAATCCCGCATCAGATTTCCACTGTGTGAAATGTAATTAATTAAGAAATGGCAAGGGTTTTCAAGCTCTATGACTCATTAAGGTTAAGCATTGTGTACTTGTGACATCTCATCAGAGCTTGTGGCTTTAGTATAAACATCACTGTTGACCAAACAGGGATTTTATTTTATTTTTTCCCTTTCCTTCTCAGGATGCTTCATTTGAGGAATTTTTAGAGGTGAAAGTATCCAGTGTTTTACAAGAAAAACCAATTTTAGAGGAAAGTCTGACCGTCCCTTGTTTTAATGCATTGTCCAGGGAAACAAAATATTTTCAGGCAAATTCAGTATGTTGTTCCTTCTTGTCTCTTTAATCTTCTTGGGAAGCTCTTAGTTTGAGGGATCTTGACACTAAGATTTGGAAACACAGACTACAAAGTGTGTGTGTGTTTAGCAATTCTAGTTTTGTCGTTCCAAGAGTCAGTGTAGTTGGATTAGGTGAACAAGGGGCTGGTCAAGTAGAATTGCTGTTTATGCTACCATAACACAGAGACATCTAGTAAGCTGCTTTGTGGCACTTATTGTCAGTGTATTACCCACCTATCTAATGTGAACCTGTTTTTCTTGACTCAGACTTCACTGTTTCTGACTACATATTAACACAGCAGGTGCTCCTCCTAACACACTGACGGAGCGGTTCTCTCTCTAAGTCTGGACTGCAGTGTTATGTAGACGTAGGGCTTTAGACTCAGGTTGGTGAACTAACAGCTGCTGCTCTCTTCCTTCCCCTGATGCTGCTCCCCCCCAGCCCCTCTGCCATGTTTGATTATGACTTTGAGTAAGTTTGAATTTTACTTCCTGCTCCTGTGGGTTTTACATTCTGCCTGCTCTAAACTCCCATCCTTAGCCTTTCCACAGTTTTGTTTCTGCTCTGACTGCTTATGTTGTTCTAGAGTATGAGTCGAAGCCTGCTAGTAAAGTCCTGCTGCATGCCAAACACTTCATTCTAGAATTTTAAATGCACATCTGCATCCGGCACTCTAAACTCCATTATATTTTCTTGCTTGTTATTTTCATGTCTAATTTTAAGTGTGCTTCGTCAAATCCAGCAGTTAAATAAGACATTGCTATTTTTGTCAGATGTTGGGTTGACTCCAGATTTGTGCACAAACAAGAACAAACACACGGGCATTTAGTGTTCTTGTTATGGGCTTGGTTTTAGACTTCTTCGTGGCACAGTAGTGGCACCGCTTCTCACCACAATTCCAACCAGAACCAGGTTTGTTTGTGTTACTGTAATATTTAAGGCGGTCTTACTTTTGTTGCAGGTTTGACATGAAGGTTAACAAGAAACCAAGAGCTGTAAGTGGCGTTCTTCTGCATTCTGCATTCTCTCACACTACTCAGCAACTATTTTCTTAACAGATTAATCATTTCATTTTTTTTTTTTCCCCCAAACAAAAATAGTGGAACACGAACACCATATGATCTCAGGTTCCTGCTTCTCAGGTGAGATGATTTGCTGCTTTTCTTTGTCATAGTAAAATATCTTTGGACTGTGGGACATTTAACTGTCATTGTGGGCTCTGGGAAGCTGTGATGGAAAATTTTCTTTTCTCCACTGTTTTTGACATTTCATAGACTACATTAATTGATTAAAAAAGATTTCTTCATATTAATCTGCCTTGTTTTGTGCACCCACCCATCCTATTCATTTTACTCTTGTCTATGACAAAGAAACGCTTTGAATCCTCAGGTCTGAGAAGCTGTAACCAGCCAATGTTTGGTATTTTACCCCAAGACTGATAATTACTCCATTATTAAAACAGTTACCAATAAATTTCTCTTTGACACTTTTTGCTTCAATTTTTTTCTCATTATTCGTCCTCTGTCCTCCTGTAGGATTATTCAGCCTAACAAAAGCGAATGGAAAATCTGGACACAAACAAGGATACGTGTAGAGAAACAAGATTTTTGGACTTTGTGAACTTTGTATGCCTTTTTTGGTTGTCATAGTTCAGCCTGTACTGTGTGTATTGCTTGAAACATTCCCCCTGCCACCGACCTTTGGTCATGGTTAAGGTTTTGACCTACAGATTAAAGTAGAACTGTGGTGTTGCATATTACTTGCCTAATGAGGCCCACTTCCAGTAACACAACATCTTGTATAGTGTTGAAAAAGACTATTTATTGTGTAGCTAATTTCCATGTTTCCCAGTGTAAGAAAGTTTTGCTTTTTGTTGAGCGTCACAATTGAATAACCCCTGAATATCAGATTCTTGTATTTTACATGGTTTGTTTTGCAAATAAAATAAACTCCAAGAACATGAGTATGTCTTGACTTGTTTAAGAACATGACCAGGGTCTGTGTCCGTTCACTGCTTTGCTGTTCACTCCATCACAACAGTTAGGGGACTGTTGTATTTTGAGAAGTGGCCAATAAGTTGAGGCCTGCCACTAATAATCGTTGTCAGTCACTAGCAGACACAGTGAAACTTTAAATGTTGGCCGGAGTCAGTATAAAGTTATATTACTGAACAGAAGGATCCAAATATCATTAATGTCTTTAGAGAATAGCCTATGTATTCTTTTCTGACAGTTCTTGGTTTGTTTTTATAAAAACAGTTACTTGAGTAAACAGGTGGCCTGATGACAGCACGGTGCTGGACACACACAGTTGCCTGCACTTTGTCAGTTGTAGATATGAAAATCCTAAACTGTTGCAGCAAATAGATTATTTAAAAGTTTGGAAAGTTGTCACATTGGTAACTGTGAAGTTAGATCTTAGAACATCGATGCTGATCTATGTACAGTCATGCAGTACCCCCAGTTTGTCACTAGATGGCACCACAATACATGGTTGACTACACTGTTGGATACTTGACATCTTCATATTTATTCACGTTAAAATTCAATATTTCAGAGATCAGTTGTGAAAATTGTAAATGGCATTTACTTGATATTTGATTATATTTAGACATGAAACCTACAACTAATATAATTTACAGTAATTACAGAACTTTATAAAGAGCATATTTGATACAAAATGCACAAAGTGCATGCGGGGCTATAGGTTACTGTGCATACGTTTTTAAGTTGAGTTGCAAGTTTTCTTAAATAACGGTGGGTGGTCACATCCTCAACCACATCACAGTATTAAGGACTAATATGGTCCTGAGCAAAGATGAATTTGGCATAAAAATGAAGGTCTTCCAAGTTTATTAAAACATATAATTATTTAGTAACGTAAAGTGTAACATAACAAAAATGCTCCCACTTTTATGATCAAATGAAAACTTTGGCCCTCTTGTAACTTTTCATATAGTCAAAACTGAACTCATCCAAACCTAACAGCATACACCCAATCAATTTCTGAATTATTTGTCCTACTTCAGAACTAGACTTCACGGGGGCCTTCACTTCTTTATCTGGGTTGGTGATTCATCTAACTTGGGCAGAAGTAATAACAATGCATTATGCATTAACACAGGTTTGTAGACATGCTGTACATTTTTCTCTCTGCAGTATTACTGCCTCACCTCCTCCCACGTCTAATTTGGCCATCCAACACTGTTACTGTTGAGGTTGTGGTCTGGTCTTGGTTACACGTCACCCTATTAGTCACTCACAAGTCACATTCAAAATGCTCAACATGGCCTAATGCCATGTGGCTGGAAACTCAGTCATACAAGAATACATTCCACACATTTAACCTTGGGGTGTGTGAGTAATAATAAGGCATGCATGTACGATATGTGTGAGGCCACTTCATGCCTTATCTTTGTTTGATTTCCTGTCACTTCAGGGAATTAACCACTGAGTTGATGGACACCAAACATGGTCCCTGTAGTTAAATGACTCAGCTGTTTGGCAGTTTAATGGAAGACAATGTTACATTTACAAATACTTGTGTCTGTTTGAGGCCTTTCTTGTACTTATGAGTCCAAATTAGTAATTTACAGCAAACAAGAAAAGTGCAAACTATAGCCCAAAAATCAATCAATAACCAAGAATGCTTTATCAACTTATTGTTTATATATTATTTATCAGATATTTAATTCACTGTATTAGCCAGAATCTGGCATTTCTGTCTGGTTATTCTGTCTGTAATCAGTTTTTAAACTGGCAGACCAATGTCACCACATGGTTCATTCAGAAGCTTTCAACTGGGTCACATCCACCTCAGCAGATCAAGCTAGCCCAGCTATCATGTAATTTTCCAAGTTCAAATTTCCTCACCTCAGAGCACTTCTCGACCACATTGCTGGACAAAATTCCACCTTCTGAGGAAGATCATGTGATAGGATTGAAAGCTCCAGAACAGCTATTAAATGGGCCTTGTGGAATGATTTGCCAGCTGCAGTTTCCAGTGTCAAGAACAAACCTTCTGTCTAGAATGTATTATTTGCTTCATGTAACATGTATGTTACTTCAATGTCACCATCATTACAACAGTGCAAATCCCAAGGAAACAGAATGAAGTGAGATGAGTCCTTGATGATACTACACACAGTCAACTAGGTACTATGCAATGAAAATACTGCACCAGAATGTAGTGGGGTGACAGCTACCCCCCCCCCCCCCCTTCTGTGGCCTGTCTGCCAGAGTAATGTCATCTAATTACTTTAACATCCTCCGCCAGCAGAGTCCAGCTGAGTCCAAGTCTCAGTCGAGGCTGAGCAGGAGGACATGAACTCTTAAATACTGACTGAGGAGCTTCAACCTCATCCTTCCTCCACCTCCTCCTCCTCCTCCTGGGACTAAACAAGACTGCTCTCTACATCCCCACAAACAAGGTCAAACATATTTCAAGACGAGTCATGGGAAAAGCTCAAACAAGTAACAGCACCACAGGGCACTTTTCACTGGAGTTGATCTCGTGATTAGATTTTAACAGCATATAAAAACAGGCTTGTTGCAGCGAGTTGACACTAACGCGGTTATAAATGATGATTAAAAGCAAGAAGTTACAGAGAATGTGTATCAGTGCTTCTACTGGCAAACGTCTCGGTTTATGAGAAAGGCCTGGAGTGAGAAGACTGGCCATATGTTCACATTGTGCATCAGGGCTAATTATGCTTTTAAATATTTAGCCTATTTTATGTAATTTACCTATTGTTAACATAATAGTCTTTAAGTCTACTACAGTAAATAAAGTCAGATTACTAGCTTTTTCTTTTGTCACACTACTGTTTTCAAGGTCAAGCATGAAGTTTAAAGCTCAGATATTAAAATGTCATGGTAAACTGTTGAACATCTTTGTTTGTGTGTAATTAAAATATTTACATACTTTAAAGTTAGAAAGTCCAGACGCAAGGTGTTTCATTCATCATCAGGGCCAAGTACATAGTCCAAAGTCAGTTTTATGGAAAACTGGACTGTGTGTTGTAAACTACGTTACCCACTAGCCGGGCACAGCATCCACACAAACACAATCAGACTACATTAGTGCAGAGGCTCTGCACTGTAAATATTTATGTAGATTATGTAAGTAACAGTAAGGGAAAGTCTTCATGGGACTTCCCACAGAAAAGTATCTTTCAAAAGAAACAACTTCCCTGATTTTTTTCCTCCTCTTTATCAAAGATGGTTTAACGGTTTCCATTAAGTACTTTGTTGAAGAGGATATCTTATTTTTGTGTGGCTTGTTCATTTGTTTTGTACTAGGACAGGAAAAACAATCACACAATAAGACTGAACACTCCCCTGTACTGTACTGTACTCCCTTGTTGTTTGTCATACAATTATTTACGTTCTTACCAAGAGTTAGATGAGACAATTGATACAACTACAGTAAATATGCAGTAGCTTTCTATTGACATGAGCAGTGTTAGAGTCAGACAATTTTGAGTAAATTGTGAAAAAGGTCACACAAAGAAATGCACAGTGTGGTTAAAAAGTAATTCCTGCTCCTTTTTTTGCAGTAATAATCACTATTTGACTGCAGTGTCCACAGTTGTACACATTACTGTGTCTGTTGTATTCATATAGCAAATATCAGACCATTTATCAGTGAATTTATAGGCTACACCATCCTTTGTTTTAGGACATTTTAATTGAATGGACGCCAGTGAATGTTGATTTAAGCAACAGTATTCAACAAATAATTTTAAATACAGCAGGCAGGGGGAGAAGAATGAAGACAGTTTTATAAACTGAAATATTTTTAGAAAGTAGAAACATGTTTGCCAATAGGTCACAGCATTAAATGTTTGGTTCATTAAAAAAAGTTATAAAATGGTAAAAAGTTATAAAGTGTTTTTAATGAGTAAACAAAGAGCTTAACTTAAAGGTTTACATATACAGTATGTTCTGTTTTTTTAAAACCATTCTTTGATGTGCAAAACATAAACTAAATAAAAAGTCCTATATAGAAATCTCAGGACATTTCTACTAAAGGTTGATAAGAGTTCTGAATTGAATAAGCTTTACACTGTGAGTGCATTACTAATATTGCTGCGTTCGTGTGTAAAGCTGAGGTTACTGAGTTTCTCTGCTGCTGTCAGCAGTGTGTGCTATTTTGCTGTTTCAGGTGCAGGTGTCAAAGGTGTCATTGGTGGTGGTCAGTCGTCATCGTTGCAGTCTGCGCACAGAATCTGGTCACGGTCCGGGAAGAAGCCGGAGCCCACCAGCGACACAGAGCAGCGTGAACACTTGAAGCATGGCTGGTGCCACTGCCGGTCCTCGAAAGAAACGTACCTTCCATCTCCAAACCCTGCAAGACAAATACGGCGCACGAACAGCTAATGAAGGAATGTTTTACGGGGTGGGGGACAGAGATTAATTACAGCCATGCAACATTCAGGAAATAACATAAATGAAATCCAGATGACATCAGCAGCTCTGTATACATGCTGGTGTTCATAGCTGTGGTTAAAGGCATTTTGTTATCTCTGGCATGTAAACATTCTCTGCCAGTGCTCGAAAGACATGACATCATGAGTTCTTAATAGACCTTCTTGTACCTGTATGTATATATAGTCTTGTCTTCAATTTATATTTCACTATGCTCACTCAAAGCCACCAAGTGTACATTTTTTTCTGATTATAGCATTTCTCCAATTTGTCTGAATGTGTTGGTTTGTTAGTAGAAAATGCGACAATCCCAGTGAAAACTGGTTCAGTCTGTGGTTGGTTTTCAGGTTACTTGTTATCAACTTAAAAAGGTGTAAATGTTGTGTTAACAGCTTGTCTTTGCTTTGTCCATTGCAGGTTTATAATATAAATTCTCTTTGCCCAGCATATTATCAACAGTATCAACTCTATAGCCATTTATATATAGTAAATTTAACCGTTAGTGGCAGAGCCCACTATTCAGTGGAAACACTGCAGCATTATTCACTGATATCAGCCTTGCTGTTTACTGTCCAGGCTCCTAATAGAGCTGTGTTAACACTGGCAAACTGGAAAACTTCTACTGCTTCTTATCGAAAGTGTTCAGCTGGCGGGACACAGTATGGTATGGCTTCTGTTGTTAAGGCATTTCTCTACAGGATGAAGGAGGGAATGAGCACTATGCAAACCACTCAGACAGGAACACAGCCAAGACTTAAAATCTGAGTCACCTAACTGCCTAAACCTGTATGGCACACACTGTGTAATTGTTTTGACATTTAAGCCTTTACTGATATTAGATAGTCGAGACAGACAGGAGATTAAGAGGATGATGATGTGCAACAAGAAATCCTCAGCCAGAAATGAACCAGTGATAATGCATGGACATTGTTTCACAGACTGAGGATTCCAGGACGCCACACCCTGTTAACTGCAGGACTTAACCTGGCGGCGGAGGACACTTTACTGACCTGTGATGGCCGTGTTGCAGCCTGCACACTTTTTGGCATAGAGGTTGCTGAAGCACTTCACACAGTACGGACTTTCTCCCTGTGAGGTGAAGGGCTGACCGGCCAATGGAGCTTTACAGCCCGTGCAGAAAAAACACTCTTTGTGCCACACTTCGTCCTTATAAGTCACCCCTCCTTTAGTCAGAGCCTGAGGAACATGTGACACATTAATATCCTTATCTAGTGATACCTGGAAGCTTTTTTGATACACGGCTGTTACTGCTGTAGTGTGTCTCATGTTGTTGTTTTTGGGTTGTGTGCTGATAGAGTTTCTGTATGGCTGTTTTTTCATGGTGACATCGATGCTTGTGCTTCTAGTTTGTCCTGTCCTATTGAGCAGACAGTTGCATGTGTAAAACATTAAATTTCACAAACTCGATATAGGCTAAATTACAAGTCAGAATCAGACTAAATAAAACTTGGCATCACCAGTATTCACTAACTTACTGTGATTCATATACTGTACATGGAACCAAATAATAAGAGCTCACAATCCCTTTAAAAGTAAAAAAAAGAAGATCAAATGGTCCTGTTATCCAATTTGTGATGTCTAATAGGTGTTTGTGGACCATGTAGTTTTCTTAGCTGATTACATTTTTAATTAAATCTGTGTTTTATGAGGTTCAGTAGTATACAGCACTGTCTTTTGGTTTGCATTTTTTCTGTTCTTATGCTGTCTGTATAGTCAAAAATAAAATACAAAAGAAAAGAAGAACAAAAAACATTGTATAATCATGTTTGACTTAATAATATAGTGCCAGACCATTATTTAGATGACAGAAAATATAATTAATTAATAGTTTAAATTGTTTGTCAAGAAAAAACATCACAGTCTCTGGTTCCGGTTTCTCATTTGCTTTGGACTGTTGTTTGGACAAACCAAGGCATTTGAAGGCTTGGAATTTTTTTGAGGTTACTATTGAGATTTATCAGCAGCTCTACACAGGTTTTTGGATACAACACCTGCCATTATGCTGCATAAGAGGCATGTTTCACCTTTTTGCAGTGGCTGCACCGAGGAGCAAATCTCCCCTCGTAGCATGGCACACAATAGTAGTTGTTGTTGTCTGGGATGAAAGCCTCGGCACCGATCGGCTTCTCACAGCCGTGGCACACAAAGCAGTCCTCGTGCCACGTGGAGCCATCGTACTCCAACATCCTCGATCCTGTCAGAAGAAATGGAGTGGACGTGAGGGAGCAGATGAGGGTGGAGACTGAGAGGGTTTTGAATGTTTGTTGATATCCTGCTGACATTATCAAGGTTCGGTGTCATTCTGGACATTCCTGTGAAAATGTGAGACTTCACATGCACCCGCACACACACTCAGAGAGAGTGATGATTCAGTGTGACAGCTAAACCTGTTCTTACACAAGCTCCTCCACTGTACAATTATCTCAGCTTATCTTGCACCAAAACAATGGTATGGTAGACTGTAATAAATCAGTGTTCTAACTGGTATACATGGCTGCACAGCATCCTAGCACTGCTCTTTTACAGTTTACAAAAATAACATCACGCCAACATTTGTAAGACTGTGTAGAAGCACAGTTCACTGAAGAGGTTTAAAGTTGGGAGACTGTCACAGTTATGAAACTGGACGTCAAAACCTTTAACCACCACCCTTGTTTTACGACTTCTGGGACCTGAAATGCAGCCCCAAAGCATGACGATGTTTTGAACTTGGCTGCACTTTTAAGAAAAGGGAGTTGAGTGCAGCAGCTTTTAAAGGCCTGAGCAGACAGTGAAGAAAATGACCGCTGAGTTCAGAGAAGAGCCGGTGAAGTATAATGATTCACAGGCCTGGGTAATGCTACACTTGTGTTGTCACAGTGGCCAGAGCTAAAACTCTGCTGAGAAAAACTTTCAGCAGAGCAAGGAAGCAATCATTCTATCACATATAAGCTGTCACACCCTGGATACCAAAAACTCATTAGGCTCTTTATGCCTGTAAAGACGGGGTGTGAACCTTCTGATGTCTACTGCTGAGCAGCACTGACTGAGCGACTGATCTGTCCCCAAGGAGGTTTGGTCCTAGGAAAAACAAGTTGCCTTCAGTGTTTCTGGTGTCTACCTGGCATGACTGTCTTGTCGCAGGCCACACACTTGGAAGAAAACTCGCTGCAGTAGCAGCTGCTGCACACCAGCGAGTTGTCCTGGCTGGTGAAGGGCTCGTCAGCCAGAGAGCGCTCACAGCGGAAACACCGAAAGCAGTGCTCATGGTAATGTCTGTTCTCATAGAAGAGCTCCTGGAGTAAAAGGAGAAGGAGTGAGAATAGTAAAAGTCAGTTAACCTGTAACCTGTGAAGAAGCAGTGTTTGCAGACGTGTCTTCACTGGGAACTAATGGGCTTGAAGCTCAGGGCCACACACAGGCAGAAAGGTGCAGAGGTCACAGTTTTCTGGACACTTTGATGTTTGATGAAATGAGAGTCTGACTGAAAACTTTTCTCTTTTTCTAGGCCCTGCAGCCCTCCAAACAGAGCAGAGTTTAACATGAAAAAAAAAACTATTTTCTTCACAATTTTATTAAAAAGCAGAATGACGCACTTTGTGATTGTTCTCTTCAACAGCTGCTTGTGTTCCAGTTCATCTGCACTTCACACAAGCTCTTTTATAAATGGCTCCACTGAATGCTGGGTGAAAAGCTTGCTTTTGAAACATGGGGGTCGGCAGTAAAAGAAGCAACTAAACTAGAGGGTGAAGAGCGATTGTTGCTACATCTTGTGTGGAGGAGGGATGGCCAAAGCAAGCAGCAGAAGAATTTACTGCCAGACCGTCACAGGGAGCCTATAACTCACAGGACGCCAGTGGCCTCGTGGCGTCTGTGGGTATTTCCTTCAGGACAGTGTTTTTAAATTTTAACCAATTAAGGCTTTTGGATAACTTAAAAAGGATAAGTGGCAATTTCTTATAGGCAGAGTTGTGTTATCCACGAATATCTGTTCTGTAAAAGCTGTTAGAAAAACAATAATGCAGGAGGAGGACGTGCTCGTATACTCTACTGCAAGTAAACATCTAAATGTACTTAAAGTATGAAAAGTAAAAGTACTCATTATAGTAATGCCACTATGTTTTTATACATTGTTGGATTGTTAGTGATGCATTCACATGTAAGCAGCTTTTAAATGTTGTAGCTGGTTAAGGTGGACTTACTTTTCACTATTTCTTATACTCTTAGGTACTTTTATGTAAAACAGTGCCTCATTTTAAGACAGAGCTGGAACAAGTAATCAACACAAAAGTAATTCACAACTATTTTGATAATTTATTAATCCTCATTTGTCAATTAAATGACAACTGCTTCAGTGGAGGATTCAATTCTTTTTTCTGTTTTATATGGTTATAAACTAAAAAACTTTGGATTGTCGATGTGCAAAACCAGATATTTATGACACTGCATTAGACTCTCAGAAACCAAATGATTAAGGACTACTACTATTACTACTACTACTGGAGAAAAAACTGCAATATTTCCTTTTGAAATGTAGTAGATAAGTACTGTATAAAGTTTTATAAAATGAAAATACAAAAGTAAATAACAAATACTTCAAAATTGTACTTAAGTGCAATGAAAAGCACTGAGTAATAAATGCAGCCCAACATAAAAACTAACCTTGGCATTGTGACTGATGATTTCTTTACATTCCTGGCAGGTGTTGGCGTAGAGGCAGTCGTAGCAGGGGATGCAGTGCGGCTTGTCCTCCACCTGGATGTATTTGCGTCCATACAGGGACTCGTTACAGTTTTTGCAGTCGAAGCGATCACTCATGATGCCACTCTGTGATGGACCGCCTGCAAAACAGAGAATCCACAGGCGCAGTTTAGTGTTCACTATCAGTGAGAAGCCAACGCAGGAAGGAGCAGGAGTGAGATTAGCGTGACAGAGACAGAGAGAGCAGGAAGATGTGAAGCAGACAGCTTCTGGATATAAAGTAGGAAATGAAGAAAAAGGAGAGAGGAAAAGAAACTGCTGGAGCCTTTAACACACAAGAAATTGAAACATATTAAACTGCAGTTTAAATCCTGTTCCACCTCCAGAAAATCTCTAAGCAGAGATAGGCTAACCTAAATGAACAACTCAAAGACTAAAGCCTGGCTCATTGTAAATCAGGACAGGACTCGTATCATTACTCACTAAGAGGTGCAAGCTTATAATGTTGCTTCCTCCCTCTCATTCTTGTATAAAAGCCCCTGCAGCGGTTTGGCATTGAGAAAGAACAACTGAACAATATTAATTGTTGGGAGCTGAACTGAAACAGCGTTCTCGATTTCAAAGACTCTCGAGGGCTTTTTCATATGTATTTAACTTATTTTTAAAGGACAAACCACTCGTTTATCTCATTTATCTCTTTTGTCCTGAACTTTCTCATGAATGTCTTTTTTGTTGTTAGAAACAAGATAACAACAACCTCAACCTGTAATGCCATCAAGATGTGTTATGTTAATGTCTGTTACCCAGAGTAATTACTTATCTATGTACTGTATTTCTATAAAAACTTAATCAGCTGTGAACATTTTTGAGTACGCATTAGTCCGGTTCTCCAGTCACTTTAAGAGCATAGCCAAGATTATTTTGTGACCAGATTTCTTTAAGGCTGCCCATTTGTTCCAGAGAACAAGTTTGTTTCTACGTAAGCTGATTCTTAACTATAAATAAATACACCATCTCCCAGGACACTTCTTAAATTTAGTAGTACTGCCTCCGGACATCTTTGCCCTTTTTTAATGGGTCCATATTTTGTAATTATAATCTTTTAATGGGGTTGATTGTGTCCCAGATTTCATTTGAATCTCATTATGAATGTCTTGTCTGCTTGGTTGGCCCAGGGGTCTTCGGAAGCAGCGGATAGGTACCGGCAGGCCAAAAGGGCAGCAGCTCGAATGGTTGTGAATGTAAAAACTGTGGGAGGAGTTTGGTAAGGCTATGGAGAAGGACTTTTGGCTGGCCTCGAGGAAGTTCTGGCAAACCATCCAACAACTCAGGAAGGGAAAATAGGGCTTGGCCCAGACTGTGTTTGGCAGGGGGAGGAAAACTGCTTACTGAGACTGGGGATATTTTCGGGCGACGGAAGGAGCACTCTGAGGAACTCCTGAACCAGTCAAACATGTCCTCCAAGGAGACACGGGGGAAGCCTCACCCATTTCTCTGACAGAGGTCTCTGAGGTAGGTAAAAAGCTCGTCAGTAGCAAGGGGCCAGGAGTGGATGAGATTCACTCTGAGATGCTGAAGGGTCTGGATATAGTTGGTCTGTTGTGGTTGATATGCCTCTTCAATGTCACATGAAGGACGGGGACAGTGCCTGAGGAATGGCAGACTGGGGTGGTGGTTCCCATTTTTAAAAAACTGAGACAGAAGAGTGTGCTTCAGTTATCAGGGCATCACACTACTCAGTCTCCCTGGGAAAGCTTATTTTAGGGTGCTAGAAAGGAGGCTTCGACTGACTGTTGAACCTTGAATTCAGGAGGAACAATGTGGATTCCGTCCTGGTCGTGGAACAGTGCACCAACTCTCTATTTTTGCAGTGTTACTGGGGGGATTTGGGGAGTTTGCCCATCTAGTCTATGTGTTTTGTGGACTTGGAGAAGGCCTACGTCTGTGTCCCTTGTAGGATCTTGCGGGGGGTACTTCCAGAGCATTAGCATGGTGTGTGACCCCATCTTCTGCAGTTGAAAAGGGTAATGAATGAGAGAATGAGGTGCAGGAGGTTAAACCACCCAGTGTGGGTGGAGATTCTGATTACATAAAGCTTTCTGGAGTTTGAGGATATGTTCATGCTCAGGATCATGACATCTGCAACATTGCATTACAAAAGTGGACATTTAAATTTTTCACTTGGAAAGAGTTATTGTTTATAACTTCCCCCCTATTTTAGGCACACAGTAGCTCTGACATGTTCCTATAATGCCAGAATAGAGGAGGTGCTCAACAAAGAGCAGCTGAGAACCCATGCGGCTTTGAAATCTCCCTGAGGGACCAAAGAATGAGCCAAGACCCCCCCTCCTCCTCAGCAGGGGGAGAACGTCACCGGCTACCCTGAAAAGATGAGATGACCCAGAGATTGGTGCAAACCAAGGATGGTTATTTGTTTTCTCAGAAAAACAAGTTTTGTGGTTTGTTATGAAGCTGGTAAGAATTAAACACTGCCTGCTCCACAAAGCTGATTTTTACAGGTAATGAGTGTCACCCTCTGGGAAGTATTTGCATCTGGCCTCCTGAGGAGTGACCCTGAAAGTGCAGTTTACATTCCTCATGTCTGACTGCTATCAAACATGTTGTTTCTAATAATGATGCAGCAATAAACATAAAAAAGATAAACACAGCCTGCTCTCAGTCAGGTCCTAAAGCTGATGCCAGAAGCACAAACTCCCTCTCCTCCAGAACTCTTTCACAGACCTCTCCCACTGCACGATACCAGACAACATCCCTCATACTGTGCATCCCTCCCCAGCAGATAACAGCACAGTTTCCTCTTGAAGGGCATCAAACTAGGTCAACAAAACATGGAGGAGAACATCACATCGTATGTCTGCTTTCTCTCACACCGCTGTCTGGACGGGGAAAATCTGCACCAACTTCCCTCCTAAAATGTCTAAAGAGGTTTAGGTTCCTATTCCTGTCTGTTCATGACTGTGATGAATGCAGTGATAGAACAATAGTTTTCCTTCCGCACATAGTCTCCTTGGTTTTGAGCTTTATGTTTCCTTTCCTGAACTACAACATCTACCAACACATTTGGCATTCTCCAGCTGTTGCCTTTGATCTAATGGGGAGTTCTTATTGGACTGGAGCCAAAATGCAATAGCTTCAGATTAAAATCCACCACTGTTTAGACCAATATTTTATGTGTCCTATAGCACAGAGCATTATAACCTTATAGTCAGTCGTACAATAGACAATTATAGCTAAGACTCAGAAACAGCTGAGTTAAACTGTTTTAAATATAGAGCTGGAGCCAGGAGGTCAATAACCAGGGGGAAACTTGTGGCCGGACTCTGCCCAAAGTCCAAAAATATGCCTAAAGCTCACTTATTAACATTCTATATCTCCTATGTTTAATCTGCACAGACATAGAAGCATAAATACAACACTTTGTGGCTTCAGGGGAAGTTACATGCAGTTTTGTGTCGAGTTTGAAAGACAGTTGACAAAGATGTCTCATAAATTAGATGTAATTAATCTCTGGTGTGTGTTTGTCATTTTTTACACCGAACAAACATATTCATTGTTAATAATTTACAGTTTATCATTTCCTAAAAACAGGGCTTTAAATGTGAGTGCAAGACCTTTTTAACTATTTTCCAAATCTGCCCCCTTCTTTGATTGAGAGCCCATTGTCCCACATCATGTGGATCCTCAAAGTGCAAAAGGTGCACAGGGGATCATTACGGTTAATCCACCAGGTGTAGTTTACAAGGTGTTAAATATGTTCTATGAACATCTGTTGGTGGTCTGGGATACAAGAGGCTTCTTTAATAGATTGTAATGATGCCTGTTTAAAGCAAGACTGGAACTTTTCTAGAAAAATAAACCAAATTTTCCTCCTACCAATTAAAGATTTATGCTGAGAAAGCTAAATTGCTCAAATCAATACAACCAGGCTTTGCTGCTACAGCCAGGACTGTCCAGGACTGGTCACACCAAGATTTACAACTGTTTGCACTTTGTGAAGGAAATTTGCATTTCAGCTGAACTTTGATAAACTTTGGCCAGTGAATTTGCACAGTGAGTTGTGTTGTCAGTGCTGAAACGACAGAGACCCAGAGAGATGAGATAAAATTCTTTATTTACATCTTATCCATACAACAAAATCTTGTTAGGTAACTCTGAAATCAGCAGCAACAGAAAGGGTAAGACTCAGACGAGTTAAAAAAGGTCCAAAATTGAGAGTTTACCACATAAACTTAAAAACTGTTCCAAAAAGGAGAAATTGTTTGAAGCAGTTACAAGACAGGAGTCCATCTTCACACTGCTGAGACTGTCTGACACTAATACCATCTGTCTAAAACACTGACTCACACGCAGTCACTGTCTTGTTTAGGAGGCATTCACGCTACTCTACAGGTGTCCTCTTAAGCCAAACCCAGGAATACTTGTTCTCTTCCACAAGACATTAAACCAAACAGTCATCCATCCTAAGTGCTCTCGCTCGAGCAGTACAGCTGCTGAAACTATTTAAGGCCACAATTCACCTTGATGAGTGGACAGTCACTTTGTAGTAGCAGCCAAATGGCAGCTTCTCCCATGGATCAGCCAACAGGCCTCCTGTCTCATGTCCCTTCATGGCTCTTTTTGTCCCTGGAGCCAGGAACTCTGCGAGCCATGAGACCTCTAGTGTTTATTTTTCCCGTAAAGGGATTTAGACGTGTGTGAGGTTTACAAACTGATGACAACCACTGTCACATGTAATAAAATCCAGTAGGACAAATAAAAAGTTAAATGTTATATGTCGCAGGTACAAAATACTAATTCATGCATTACAAAACAGCCTCACTGCCTTTTTGGGTGCTGTTATTACATTCCTTCTCAGAAACATGCACCTGAATCTGAGCCGTACACCCTCCAGTCTGTTTGGACTAAGACTCATTTGACTGTTTTCCAGACTTGTTCTAACGCTTGAACTTACAACCCCAATTCCAAAAAAGTTGGGATGTTGTTTTTAATTATAAATAAAATCTGAATGAGATGTTCTGAAAACCCCTTTTACCCTGTTTATTTTATTAGTAACAATGCAAAGATAAGATATCTAATGTTTAAATTAATATTTTTATGGTTTAGATAAGCTTGTTTTGAATTTGATGCCAGCAACATGTTCCAGAAAAGTTGGGATGGGGGCAACAAAAGACTGGAAAGTTGTGTAATGCTAGAAAAAAAAAACCAAACTGGTGGAACATGCTGCTTTTGCTGTATTCGTGCCTTGCTGGAAAAATGGGGATTTAATTTGATTTGGAAGTGTTCATGCATTATTCTGGGATCATTACTGACCCCACTGCTAACCTTGTTAACCTAACCTAATTAACTAAATGATCCAGTTTTGCAGTGTTGCATATTTGGAGCAATTTATTAACAAATGAAACCAGGTACAAACTAACAACATGTGTAAGTACAGCCATACAGAGCTGCTAGCATCCACTCAGTCTTGCTTTTCTCATGCATGAACTTACAATAACTGCTTTATCCTTACACCTATTAAATATCCCAAACTGTGTGTGCATTCAGTTAAAACAGGAAGCGCATAACAAAGTGGGTTTTTAATTACCACCTCACTTTACAGTTTATTTCCCCTGAAGCTTTAACAGCCTCTCCTGCTCAGAACAGTTCTCATATTGTTTGACTCCTAAGTTACATAACCCGGATTTTGGGGATGAATAAGAATACGAACAGTGGCATAACACTGTAGATAGTGCGATCAACAAAGGAGCCCTGGAGGAAAGTGACACCTTCTTGGTTGCAGCTATAAACTGTTACAGAAAAAAAAGCTAAACCAAACAAAACTGGTCTCTTATGGCCGTCAGATGACTGAGCTCTCTTTCATTCCCAGGACAAAGATGCTCAATGTGTTGTGAGTTCCTGCAGGTTACAAGGCCGATGTCAGCTACACACAAAGTGAACACTCATTGTAGATTTGGTTTTTGAGTTGGCAGAACTGTAACATGAATAACTTGGTTACATAAATATGAAAAATAGCCACAATTTCACCTTATGAGGTGTGTTTAGAATTTATGCTTCATTTTATTTGATCATATAATTAAATATATGTTCAGGAAATTAGTTCTTTCTCACTGAATTCCACCAAAGCGACAACATAATCAGGGTCACTGGATATTGATGACACATAGCTTGTCATATTAAGCCTATAACACTGGGCAGTAAAGTGCTTTTTAAGAGTGGGGTCTCCTGCAGATCTCAGCTGCACACACAGAAACCATCACACACACTATATATTTTGTTGTTTTTGATTAAAGATATCAGCACAAATCAATCCTTTATATTTTAAATACCTATGGAACTTTTAAATTACAGCCACTTTTTTGGAGAACTCTATTTTCATGCTGATTCCACTAAAATCGCAGTATGTTCAGTATCTCTGGCTACTAACAACACCTGTAACGCTAAGCTCATAGCATTAGAGAATAAAGTACATTTAAAGACAGAGTACGTGTCCAGTTTTGTTTCATAAGACTCCGGCTGGATGTTTGTTCACTCTGTGGAACAATGTGGTCTGCAGCTTCACCTCTGCTGCCGTCGACTAAACTAACAAACAGCTTTCTGTCAGACAACGATTAAACAAGTCAAGCAGTAGTTCTCAACCTGGGGGTCAGGACCCCCACTTCTGGTCGCGGGATGATATCTGATAATTCTTTTTTCCCTTCATTTTACAAGACATACAGAAATAAAGCAAGGTAACTAACTAGGTCAGCGGCTTTCACACACATCTCATGGCGATGGCCCTGAAGTCACTCATTAACAGTAAACTCTGCCTGTAGAAAAAGACTGAGATGCAGCAGAAACCCCCTGAAAGAAAAGTTCAAACTACTGATCGGCTTATGGTCATGCACCCTGGGACAAGGGGTCAAGAGTAAACACGGTTTGGGGTCGTGTGCAAGGACGTGTTGAGAATCACTGGCCTGAAGGACATGAAACTGTGCCTGAACAAGAGTCTACAGTGAGAATACTCTTTAAGATAAACCCTCATGTTGGCATGCTGACAGAATCCCTAAGACAAAACGAGCATGTTGTTTATCATATTCACTATCTTAGTTTGTCAGGTTAATACACTAACGTACGTAGCTCTACATGAAGTGTACCTGGGGCTGATGGGAATGTCATTAGTTTTGCAGTCAGCTGACCTGATTGCGGTGTTTGAAGGAAGGTTTTATCCTCTTGGGACCATGAATATGTGCAAAATTTCATGGTAAAGCATCAATAGATAATTCAGTCTGGACCAAAGTGGCGGGCTGATCCAGAACAAGTACATTTGACACATTTGTGTATGTTTCTGAGAACAATGAAGAAAAACCTGCCTACCAGCAACTTTTAAGTTCACTAATGTCTTTTGTTCAATTTGTACACAAACAGAAATGTTGCAGTTTTTGGATTTACAGTGAGTTGAGGAGTCGCCTGCTGTTGTTCACCAAGAAATTGTTACAGCATGTAACACCACCAATTGTTTTTTTATATTTCTGTTTGTGTCCAGTCCCGACACACAATATATGTGACTTTTAGTGAATGTTGGGTTTTGTTTTTATGTCCATATATATCAGTGCTGTGAACATAACTTGTTTATGTTGTCTGCTGCTTGTTAATTGGCCAAAAATAGTTACTGCAGCTTTTAAAAACTTAAAATAAGACATGTTATTTAAGCTTTAGCCAGATTTTGGTACCTTCAGGCTGCTTCCCCATTTTTCCTAGATGCTGGCTCCAGTTACATTTTGTAAAGTGGTACAAATCTCCACCTTTATCTAAATCTCAACAAGAAAGAGAAGTGACATAATTCCCCAAATTCCCAGAACTATTCCTTTAACTCTTACCAGGCTGTGCAACAGGAATAGGAAATGGAAAAGACTGATGTGAGTGAGACTGACCCATGAGACCCACATGTCCCCACACTGTGATTTTATGACTGTCAATCACTTGACAATTCAAAATCACCTCCTTTTAGTTGTTTTATTTGCCTCTGGATCATCTTCCCAGTGACTGTACACAGTCCCAATGCACACGCTTCAGAGGAATGTGACTGTGGTCAAAACGTGGCAAAACCATGTGATTCCAACACTGAAAAGAAGGAAAATGCAAAGAAAACATTTTTTCCGCCCTCTGTTTTCTAAAAAAGACAAAAGTCTGAAACTCCTTTCTGTGTGTAACAAAAAATAACGCCCTCACATTCACATTTCTTCAGGGGGGAAAAGCAGCCAAAGTTGTATTGTTTCAATGAATGTATTCATTTCACCCAAATGGACTGGAACATGCTGGTGGTATGGAAATGCTGTGCAGTGATGGAAACTATGAGCGGTGCCAGAGTGGTTCCTCGAGTCTCCAGAACAAAATTTGTAATCTGCAAAAGACATGACATCACTCTAACTCAACAAGACTGAGTAACTTGTTAACACGAAAAAGATGTGTGGGTGTGTGAAACATGTTTGTATGAGCTTTAATGGTCAAGGTATGAAGCTTTATTTTGCGTGTCGCCCCACAGCAGCCTCCTGTCTCTTGCATCTGAGCTAATTGTTTCCATAAAGGTCTCCTTGTTCTTCAGCAAAGGGGCCACAGCATTTGCTCACAGTATCGGTTACTCACTTTGGTCCCTGTACAGTCCCCCAACCCCCAGTAACATCCACCACTTCCTCATTCTAAAGAAAGAACATCCTTTCTGGTGCATCCTGGATGTGGGGGTCAAATATTTGACTTAGAAAAGATAATTCTTGCACTGAGATGATTGGGATTTCATTAAAGTTTGGTCATTTTCTACTACTTTTACATGATACCCTTTATAAAAGGTTAATTAATGTCTTTATCATTAATAGATTAATAGGCACATATTCTAGATTGGTGGTTAGTGAGAATACCATTGGTCATTTTTTTTGTTTAATAATAATGTTGTTATGAATGTCAGTAATCTATAGATGCTCATGTGTTTCTTATTTTCTAATATATGATCAATTCTGCACCTACTGTATACATGTTTTAACTCATTCTTTTGCTCCATACTGTTTGCAACACTGATCTAAAAAATAAGTGGTTAAATGAGTTTCACAACCTGACGTTGATCTCGTTGATGTGACTGAATTAATCAATAATGAACCTTTAGTAAAACCACAACAGACGCTTCATTTATGGTGCCTCATTAGAAAGTGATGCCATTTCTCTTAAAGCCTCCAAGATATTTACAATGTATTTGGAATAAGGCGCCAGGTAAAGACAGGTGAATCTGTGCACGCCCCAGTGGAACAGACATGAACGCTTCAGTCGATTTTACTACGGATGGTACGGATGTTTTACTTTTTATGACAAAGCTCTAAATAAATAACACACGTACCTTTCTTTGCGCGTCAGCAGCCTCTCAGCTCTCAGGAGACTCGGTCTCTGCAGGATCTGACCAGTTTGTCCACTTGTTCTGCTCTGTTGAATAAAATAATAATTAAATCCTCCGTGGACTCCTACGAGCTGAGAACCGACTGAACCGTCTGTGTCTGGTGCGTAAACCTAACCATTCCTCCACTCGCCGCCCCTCCCCCCTCCTCCCTATGTCTCTCCTCCTTTCTCCTTTTGGGGAGTTCAAGCTGAAAGATGGTAAACATAAGTACATGGTAGACTTTAGAGAGGCCACAGCTGCTTATGTAAACCGCTGTATGATCTCTCAATATGGAAAGCTTTGTGAAATGGAATCTGTGTTATAAACAGCTTAATTACTGACAGTATACTGCACATAAATGCTAAATAAGGGTTTTATTTTATTTTACCATGTGGCATTTCTCATCACAGCTACAAACCAGCGCACTCTGTAGACTTATTCTCTGGCCTTGCCTTTCTTCTGAGCTCTCTGTTGTGTGAGATTATCTGTGGTTAGAGCCAAACTGCAAGATCCTGACCATTTTTCTGAGAGAAAGATATCATATTCCTGCCCATTGAAGTCAATTTCCACATTGGTGAGCAGAAGGTCTGGGGACGATTAGAGGCTTCAGCTGCGGCTCCGTCCTGCCACTACCCATTAAGTCAGGATGCATACTGAAGAAGGCTTTTGCTTACTGTAATGTGTGTATGGCGTTTTTAAGCTCATTCACAAGATCTACTGGTGGACTGTTGAGGTTTCCAGAGGATCCGATCAAATAATAAAATTTAATTCTTCATCTGAATTATTGGGTGAAAATGAGAGATGATTACTTCATCGTTAAACGTCCAATATTTACATGTGAACCTCTGCTGCCACCTGCTGTTCAAACCCGGTATTTTCAATGGTTCATCTGTGGGTAGACGCGCATGCACAGGTTACATTTAAAAAGAATAAAGTTAAAAAGCAGAAATATACAACTAAGCTCATCACATTAAAAAAATATGGAAGCCCATTTGCAGCTGTTTTTTTTCCATGATTACAACTTAGTACAATTATAGTCTCTCAAGATTATGAGAACAATTATAAGAAAGTTTCTCTTAATCAAGTTATAATTTTAGGAAAAACCTCAAAATTGAAAACACTAATGTGGTGTATTTTTATTTTTTACTAAAATCTCATAATGTGTTCTTCATAATCATGGCGCAATATCAAAAATATAAGAAACTTTGTCATAATAATGATATTTATTATAAGTTAGATAATAATTATGACAAAACCTTAATGAAAAATGTTAGGACTTAGAATTTCCCCTTATCATAAAAATCCTTTTCTTTTTTTTATTAATAAACCCAATAATGAAAAAAACATAATATTAAAAAGTTAGATGGTGAATATTTGACTAACATTGTGCTGTCTCATAATGTTTGTCAAAATTATGATTTAGTGTCTCATAATTTTAAGAAAGTTTCTTATGATTTAAAAAAAAGTAGCAAAATATCAGTTTAAGAAATTAAAAGTGTCTCAATACTTTGAGAAATGTTCTAAAATACAATTGTTATATTACAACAATAATAAATTCATAAAATTTCATGATGGATTTTTGTGGCAGAAATAGGTTTCGATAACAAAGCTACATTGAAATTTGACTTGTATATGAAATCTTTTATTTAAAAAAAAACATCATGCAGAGCAAAAAACGTTTCCAGTCACTGCTCGTGGAGAAAAGCAAAACTGCTTCAAACAAATTCTTTGGCCATAATGTTCATCAGGCTACACAAGCTGTGAGCAGGCACGGCACGTTGTCACGAGTGAAAAGCATCATCAGTTATTTCCAGCCTCCATTAGGACCAACACGCTGTCTGCCCCTCTGTTAATCAACCGAGGCTCTAATGGTGTAACTGGCACAGTGTGAGGAGAGTCTGAGCAGAGCGCCAGTTGCTGGTGGCACGAATCATTATCAACAGAAAAAAAAAAACTGTGCGGGACAGGATGTGTTTTTCATAGTGGGGGTTGAAGCCACTTACAGCACTTGAAAAGTCAAGGTGAAATGTGCAGGAACATGAAAGAAGTTTGGACGTTGAAGGGTAGATTGTGGAAATGCAAAATCTCTAGTTGAGTCATTGTGTGTTCAGTTTGACTGCAGGCACTTGAACACTACCACAAGTATTTTTGTGTTGCAGAGTACACAGGATTAACTGGCCAAAGAGGTAAATAAAACCGACAGATTTTCATGCTGATAATTGTCCAGAAAGTGGAAACAAAAATGAAGCAGGTGCACTGGCTGGTGTTTCATCACCTGTAAGCAGGAACGATATATTTCATTTTAAGCCAGACGGAGAGAAGCAGGTGTCGTCCAAAGACTCATGGAGACAGTTGCTTAAATTTCCACACTGTGAAAGTTCAGGGCAGAATTGTCATCATTCTAAGTTGCTTCTCCAACTGATTCACATCCAGGTGACACTTACAAGACACAAGGTATCATGGAGCTTCAGGTAAACCCACACCTGTCATTCAGACAGCACCTCCGTTCAGTGCAGCGTATTTTAAACCACTCAAGTTGCTGCCAGACGAGCTCACTGGTCTCCAGACTGCGCCTTGTGTTGAGGTGTCGACTTCAAACACTTCATGGATGGCTTTTCGGAAACAATTAAAATTGTACTATATCAAACTTGTAAAGGGAATAAATAAGGCATTTAAAGAATTTAGTTTGAATTGTGACAAATGTTTTATGACATAAAATCCAAAGTCAAAAACGCTGAAGTCACTGAAGCCCAGTTAACTGCCTGCTCTCTCTGATCACCTACGCTGCTGTTAATCAAGGTGGACAGTAGTTCCTGCACTGCTGAACTGAGGGGTCAAGCAGATATAAATAAAGTTTTGATATGAAAAATACTTTTGAACACTACTGCACGGTGGCCGCCAACAATCAGCAGCCAAAGAGAACACAAAAGACAAAAGAAGAAGAAACCATCTTCACGTATGCAGATCCACCGTACTTCTCGTTTGGCAGCAGGAGATGTTCTAATCTGACACTTAGGACTTCTTGTATAATCAGCCTATGACCTGATCAGGCCAAAGTAACTGTTTCTACGATCTAATTTACCGACCTTTCCTCTCAAAGCTCTCTTCTCTGAGAATGCAGATGAGAGCGAGGAACTTTGTGACCTCTTTCAGATAAAGCACTGTTGTGTTGTTGAGCCTGATGATCGCCAAAGACTCCTTGTCATAGGCACAGCCGCTGCCGGCGTCTGTCAGCCTGCCAAGAGTCAGACATGGAAGCGCCATTAAACTCTGAATAGGGACATAATCTTTGCCAAAGCTTGCAAAATATACATCTTCTCACCCGTAAATGCAGGAGAAATCAATGACAACATCAATCATATCACAGCATAGTTCGTAGGACTGCCTGTCCACAGGAGAGCTGTCTGTGGTGATGTAAACCTTGCTCACAACATCAAACAGGAAAGCTTTCTCGATCCCAGAATGCTGATGGAAAAACAGGAAGGCTTAAAAATAAAAAATAGGACAGTGACATTTTACTTTTGTTTTTTAAGAATAAAATAACATACGGATATGAAAATGTTCAAAAGGTTCTCCAACGTCGGTAACTGAGGAATCAGCTTCTGGACGACTTTACTAAAGGACTCGAAGATGGAGTGATCGTAGATGCTGGTCAAGTAGAAGCTGAGGAGAGAAAGTAGGAAAGTTAAAACAAACAAGTTAGGGTAGAAGCCTAGAGAGGGGAAGGTAGTACCGAAGCATGTTTTACTCCAGTGAAGCGCAACATTTTCACTACATTCCGTCGTAGCATGTATCAAATGCATGTCACTGGTGCTTCAGGGGTTAATTCACAGACCGCACTTGGACAACACATGGCAGAGAAGCTGGAATAATCACAGAAGGGCTGTAGGCAGCAGAGTGTCATGGAGGGGATAGTATAGCTGAGAGACACCATATCTTGTTTCATTCTCACTTGACCTATCTAATCTGTGCTAGCACCCACCTGAGATGAACTCTCTCCAGGCTGGCATCCGCCAGGTCATCATTGGCCCTCTGAAGAATGTCTCTTTGTGTTTCAATTTTGTGGTCATCTGACAAACCATCTACTTTATGGATGAACACTTCAAAGTTAATGTCTGGATTCACTTTGTAGGCCCTAGATACGGTGAGATGCAACCGCCCAAGAGCCTCGACATAGTCATCCTAAAAAGAGGAGAGAGCAAAGGAAGATGTGATGTGTTAATTTATCTATCACAGGAAGCAGTACAAACATAAGCATAAACTGGCACTGTCACTCACCTGAGCGTCGGTGACAAAGATCAAGGCACCAGTCCCCTTGAAGATCATTTCACTGTCAAATGTGGGGTCAAAGAAATCCATCTGTCCAGGAAAGTCCCAGATTTGGAAGTTGACAAAGGAGCTGCTGGAGATGTCATCCTTGGAGATTTTGTTGGTACTCTCCAGGAATAACGTCTCGTTGGGCGACATCTTGTGGAATACACAAGAGCACAGTAACTATCACTATATATTTCAATGAGCTGGAACCTCTGACATGACTGAAACTGACTTAACAAAAACTAAACATTTAACCTCCATGAAAGATTTGTATTAGATTACACTGGGTTTAGCTAGGGGTGCATAATGAACTATCAACTTAGAGCATTTCCATTATAGCCCAGTCCTGATATACTGAGCGGCGTGTTTAAAAGTTAAATCAAATATTGCCATACTTTCTGAATGGATGACTTGCCACTCCGCCTCAGTCCCATCAGCAGGATCCTGGGTTTATCATCTGATGCGGAGCTCTCCTCCATGTCGGACTCCTCCACCCCATAGCCAAAACTTTTGGGAAACGATCCCACAACACTGAAACTCCCCGTTATTATGGGCTCCTCATACTAAACAGACATCTTGTACTTCACTGCCAGGTCTCCTTTATCTTGGTTACGTCCTCCCTAAAGGCTGCCAGTGTTTTGATTCCTCAGTTAGCGATCTGAATAATCCAAATATGAATATTGTTGTCAAGGGTTTTCACAAGGAGCTAGCAACTGTTAGGTATTTTTAGTCAGATAGATATTGAATAGATACTTTATGTATTAGAAATGTATAGTGCTTCATGTTTTGACTACTGCTATGGCCAGCTGCAAAGCTGGCAACAGAGACGTCTCGGTTGACGTTTCTGTGTAGTATGGGGCTAGCCCAACCGAGGTGATATAATGTATAGGCCTGGTGGGTTCAGGGTCTTTCATCTTACATCTGCCTGCGTGCAGTTTGGAGGTGCAAGATACTTGAGCGTGTAATGTTAAT